AATCTTCTACTCCTCTAGGACAGATGTCATGCAAACTTTTGTGTACAATAGATACAATGATGTAACACTATAGTGTTAAAATTTTAATGTATTAAGAACTGTGTATAAAGAGGCTATAGTAAAACTGTACTTCAGATTCCACTACTGCCTCAAACTGTGCTACTGCGATTCTCAATCAAGAGGCTATTTTTGCCACTGACTGATCTCAATTGTTATTGAAACACGATCCCACACGTCGCCCTAACAGGTAGGTCAATGATTTTACAGGATTACTCCCATCTTCAATGAAGCTTCAGGATCTATTAATAATACTGTGTTGGTCATTTTTTGACTTGGTACTAAACTGGAAATGGCAAATGGGGCAATATTTGGAGCAACATGCTCATAGATCAAACAATACAACTTTCTATATTGTAAATAGCAGAAAACATACAGGCTTGCCTATATCTTCCCTATCTTCACAATCTTTTCGAATTAGCAGAAACCTCCAGATTGATGGACCTTGCAATTTGAGCCATTAGTGAATCTTGTTCAAACAAATCACGTATATAATGCCAAATCATCTCTTTCAACAGGAATCTTAAAGTTTTGACAGCATGTGCATTTTTTTCATCTTATAAAAAGATGGGAAATCTGTTCAGAAGCCAAAGTTTCATTCTTGCCCGATGACAAATTCATACAAAAAAATACAATACAGGATTTCCTACGAATTGTAGTCTCCTCTACACTGGGAAAACAAAGTGCAGACTGGGTGACTACTTTGCAGAATACCTACGTTCTGTCCACAATAAAGACCGAGGTTCCAGTTGCCTGCCACTTCAACACACCACTGTGTTCCCTGGCCAATATCTCTGTCTCAGGCCTGCTGCAGTGCTCCAGTGAAGCCCAACACAAGCTAGAACCGCACCTCGTTTTCCACTTGGGAATGCTGCAGCCTTCTGGACTTTCCCTCACCCCACACACCCAGGCCTTGTCATCACATAATAAAAACCGAATGAACTGTGAATGCTGTAAATCAGGAACAAAAAGGGTCACCGGACCCGAAACGTTAACTCTGTTTTTCCCTTCACAGATGCTGCCAGACCTGCTGAGCTTTTCCAGCAACTTTGGTTTTGTTCTTTGTCATCATATAGGTTGCTACCACACACAACTTATTGTCAGTTACTAACAGTCCCCGTTAGCAGCTATTCATTCTCCTAAACTGACCTTTATCGAGTCCTTTGTTATCCAACTATTTTTCTCTCTCTTTGGGCTCTATCATTTACTCCTTACCCCCTACGCTACCCTTTCTACTGCATAAAAATCAAACTTTTCCTAGCTACATCAGTTCTGAAGAAAGGTCACTGGACCCAAAATGTTAACTCTGATTTCTCTCCACAGACGCCGCTAGACCTGCAGAGATTTACCAGCAATTTCTGTTTTTGTTCTGACAAATTCAATTTGTTTATGCCCTAGGATCCATCATACTTAACGGGCAAACTTTCTTCTTGGGAGATTCAAAGTAATAGCTACAAAAACACGGAGAATTCTGTGTACTGTAGCTGCAGCCTTATTTACTAAAACGTTGAACTTCTGGGCTACCTTTGGTATCTGCTTGAGAGGTGAAATGCTGCATTCTGAAATGTGTCCTGCTTTCAGATACTGGGAGATAAAGAAGTCAAAAAGCTGTGTCTTTGGCCCTTGGGATCAAACTTTATTATGAAGCAAAAATGCTATGATTATAATTCTCAGCACATCTTCTGACATTCCCAAAACAATTTACTGCCATTGAAATGCTATTTGTAAAAAGAAATGTATGGATAGACATTGATATCTTATCTGTTGACTTGCTCACCGAGCTGTCTGGTTTTCGTTCAGACATTTCATCACCATGCTAGGTAATATCATCAGTGAGGCCTCCAATGAAGTGACGTTGTTCTACTCCACTTGGAATTTACACTGTCCAGTCTGTTATGATGAGTTGCGCCATTTCCAGTTTTATTCTGTATGGGTTTGTATATGGGGTCCAATTCTATATGTTTATTGATTGCATTATGGATTGAGAACCATGCCTCTAGGAATTCCCGTGCATGTCTATATTTGGCTTGGGCTACCATGGTTACTTTGTCCTAGTTAAACTGATGGCCTTCATTGTCTGGAGGCCTCACTGATGAGGTTACCTAGCATGGTGATGAAATGTTTGAACGAAAACAGGCCAGCTCAGCGAGCAAGTCAACAACTGTTCGAGGAGCTCGAACAGTTCATCCACTTCACCAACACCTTCCACCCCAACCTTAAGTTCACCTGGACCATCTCTAATATCTCTGTCTCCTTCCTGGACCTCTCTGTCTCCATCTCCGGCAACCACCTAGAAACCGATATCCATTTCAAGCCCACCGACTCCCACAGCTACCTAGAATACACCTCCTCCCACCCACCTTCCTGCAAAAATGCCATCCCCTATTCCCAATTCCTTCACCTCCACCGCATCTGCTGCCAGGATGAGGCATTCCACTCCCGTACATCTCAGATGTTCTCGTTTTTCAAGGACCGCAACTTCTCCCCCTCAGTGGTCGAGAACGCCCTTGACCGTGTCTCCTGCATTTCCCACAACTCATCCCTCACACCCCCTCCCCGCAATAACAACCCAAACAGAATCCCCCTCGTCCTCACGTACCACCCAACCAACTTCCGGATCCAACACATCATCCTTGGACATTTCCGCCATCTGCAATCCGACCCCACCACCAAGGACATTTTTCCCTCTGCTTTCCGGAGGGACCACCCTCTCCGTGACTCCCTTGTCTGCTCGACACTCCCCTCCATCCCCACCTCACCTGGCACTTTTCTCTGCAACCACAGGAAGTGCTACACCTCTCCCTTCACCCCCATCCCATGCCCCAAGAAGACTTTCCACATCAAGCAGATGTTCACCTGCACATCTGCTAATGTGGTATACTGCATCCGCTGTTCCCGTTGTGGCCTCCTCTACATCTGGGAAACCAAGCGGAGGCTTGGGGACCGCTTTGCGGAACATCTACGCTGGGTTCACACTAAACAACTGCACCTCCCAGTCGCGAACCATTTCAACTCCCCCTCCCATTCCTCAGACGACATGTCCATCCTGGGCCTCCTGCAGTGCCACAACGATGCTACCCGAAGGTTGCAGGAACAGCAACTCATATTCCGCTTGGGAACCCTGAAGCCCAATGGTATCAATGTGGACTTCACAAGCTTCAAAATCTCTCCTCCCCCGACTGCATCCCAAAACCAGCCCAGCTCGTCCCCGCCTCCCTAACCTGTCCTTTCTCCCACCTATCCCCTCCTCCCACCTCAAGCCCCACCCCCATCTCCTACCTACTAACCTCATCCCGCCCCCTTGACCTGTCCGTCCTCCCTGGACTGACCTATCTCTTTCCTACCTCCCCACCTACACTCACCTTTACTGGCTCCATCCTTGCCTCTTTGACTGGTCTGTCTCCTCTCCACCTATCTTCTCCTCTATCCATCTTCTATCCGCCTCCCCCTCTCTCCCTATTTATTTCAGATCCCCCTTCCCCTCCCCCATTTCTGAAGAAGGGTCTAGGCCCAAAACGTCAGCCTTCCTGCTCGGCCTGCTGTGCTCATCCAGCTCTACACCTTGTTATCTCAACCTCACCCACAACCCCAGCTATAAATCTTTGTTAAAACCATAAACACCTACGGGCGCAACACGCTAAAAGTTGCCTGGCAATGAGGAAACCTTCGCCAACCTGAGTGCTAAAAACTGACCAAATCCTCAACTTCCACAGCAACAACCTAACGTCCACAAACAAAGCTGTGTTAGGACACTATTTAAACAGGCCACCACTCACTGCAACACGCCAGAACTACGCAGGAAAGAGGAAGAGCACGTATATTATATCTTCAGTATGAATGGATATCCCTGCAACTTCATCTGCAGGTGCCTACTAAATAGACGAGAGGACACAGTACGCCCTAACATACTGGCCACACTGCCCTACATCAAGAACGTATCAGAACTGACAATGAGACTCCGACGACCTCTAGGGATCATGGTAGCACACAAGCCCACAGCCACTCTACTACAAACACTCACAAGGATTAAAGACCCAAATCCCACAAAATGCAGAACCAACATGGTTTACAAAATACCATGCAATGACTGCCACAAATATTACATCGGACAGACAGGGAGGAAACTAGCCATCAGAATACACGAACATCAACTAGCAGCAAAACGACACAACAGACTTTCCTTAATATCAGTACACTCGGACAATGAGGCCGTTAATTTAACTGGGAAAACGTAACCATAGTAGCCCAAGCCAAGCATAGACATGCATGGAAATTCCTAGAGGCATGGTTCTCAACCCATAATGCAAAGAAACATATAGAATTGGATCCCATGTACAAAACCATACAGAACGAAACCGGAAATGACACAACTCACCATAACGGACCGGACAGTATGAATTCCAAGCGGAGTAGAACAACATTGCTTCATCGGAGGCCTCAACTGATGATGTTACCTAGCATGGTGACAACGTCTGAACGAAAACAAGCCAGCTCGGTGAGCAAATCAACAACCTCACCCACAATCCGAGCTACAAATCTTTGCTAAAACCTTAAACCAATATCTTATAAAATACTGCAATGAATTCACATTGCAAAGTCCTACAACAGCAATGAGATAAATGTTCACATTAACAATCTATTAAGGTTCTGATTTAGGGATAAATATTGGCTAGGACACCAAATCTCGTGTGCCTTAAAAAAAAACTGGAATGGGAACTTTTGCATCCAGATGAACAGACAGAGAACATCTGGGTTTAATATCTCATTCAAAATTCAGCAACTCCAAATGTACCGCACTCTCATTGACAATCACAACCTTCTAACTCTACAGCAAGAATTATGTTGATATTTTAAAAGAAGCAGTAGAATGTAATGTATTTCTTATTATTTAAATGCAGAGCTTTTTCCTCACTTATTTATGTATGTTACCCTGCCATGCTTACATGTATTTGCTGGGGATTTGCCCTCTTTCCAATTTCTGAGCGTTTTCATCCAATTGCCAGGCCATCCAATAACCAAAGTTTCCTTGTGGCAGAGTGTCATCGACGTAAAGGATATCATCCTTCTTAAAACTTAAATCATGCTCTACTTCGGCAACTCGATCGTAAAGTGCTCTGGAAGACCAAGCAGATGAAAATGCCATGCAATTCAAAAAAGATTGCTGTGAATCTGTATTACTCAAACACATCAGGACTTAGCTTGGTAAGTAAAACTAAAACATGAGCACCGAGTTCCAAACCATTAGACAACTGAAGTTAAAACCGGGGCTAAGTAAAACATCACCACAATTGTTTCTGTTGGAGGATTGGGCTATTTTTCAATAATTATGATTTGATTAAATAAGTGAAAAATAAAATTATATTGTTAAATTGTGACTAATTGTAAACAGTTTTTGAAGACAGAAAAGTCAAATGGCTGGGCCAAAAGTAAGGCTTATGGTTTTATTGCTTTTTTTTTGTTGTTTAGTGTACTTTCATACACTAATATACACTAATAGGGTTCAGGATGCCTCTGTTATGCACAAGGTTAGTGGCTAGTAAAGGTTAACAAGACCTGGGTTTTAGTGGTTTGATGCACAAGAAGGAATGTTGAAGACAGAATAAGAACTTCAGTTAACAAAACAGAACAAGTGACTAGTGCCTAGTAAACCAGTGTCTTGAAATGACATCCTGAAGGGGAAGGACTGTAGACATTTCCTTTTATCACGTTCTTTTTCTTTTATGCTTGTTAGGATAAATATAATAAATTCTGTAAAACATGTGAAGACATACTTGTACCTGGAATGTCTTTTAATTAATCAGGACTAATGAACTTTAAATTGGTTCTCTCAACCTCAGTCTACAATTGTAATTGACACTAGAAGGCCTGGGTTCAAGTCCCACCTGCTCCAGAGGTGTGTCATAACACATTTGAAGAGGTTGATTAAAAATATTTGTAATTGTAATCGATGTAGGTTTTACAATTAAAATGAACTCCAAAATTTTACACTGACCATGCACTTGTAGGAGGTGAAGTATCTGAAAAATAATACACACAACCTTTTCAACATAAAAAGCTGAAATTAACATTTTCTCTATGTGAAATTATTATAGGTGTACTGAATTAACAGCAAAAAGAAAAAGAAAATAACGACCAAATCACTGCTATTTCTTAACATTATTCAATAGTCATATATATTATTGTAGCTTAATTCTAATCATTTACAGCGTATCTGTATTCTGTTACATTATTCGCTTGACCCAACATCCTACAGAATTTGTCCATAAAATCCTGACTTTTTTCATTTGATGATTATGAGAAGATTTCATTTGATGATCTCAAATGGTACCTGATATAGAATCCATCTCCGGCTTCATTTCTGATCTTGTTGAATTCCTCTATTCTGTACTGAGCTTTCACAGAGATTGTTTCTGTGGGTTTCAGCATTTCGACATAGGCTTGCTCAGCTGTCACATTCCGCATATCAGTGCCATTGTACTGCATTGAAAATGTAAAATGACTATAATCAAGAATTACTGTTTACTTCGACTATATTCCAGCAAATAAGAGTTGGAGTAAAAATTCGTGTGTATTTTTAAGTAAAGTTCATTGAAATTTCTCTATTCTTTCTACCTCTTTTGTTTCCCTGATAAAGGAGAATAGTAGCAAGTGCAAACTTCCAAACAGCTAAAAGATTTAGATTACCACTGATCCTTTTCTAAATCGTCTAATAGTCATCGTAAATATATTTTCAGGAGCTGGGTTTCTCTCTAAACATGCTTTTTCTGCACACATTTTATTTCACTGCAATTTCTTGTTCTATGGTGTAATGTTTATTCAAATGCAGATTTATACGCAAGCAAAGGCAAGGTTATAATGCAGGCACACTGTTACTGTTCAGTCTCAATGCACTATTCATTACTACTGAAAGATATAAGAAAAGAATGGGTGAGTAATTCTCTTGGCTGCATTGTATTTGAAATTGTGCCAGAAAGCTATATTTCCAGTGATGTCATCACTTTGAACTTACATTAAATTGTATGACCATATTGGAAAGGTAATGGTCACGAAGAAAACAACTGTAATTTGTAAACTGGTTCACAGAATAATTTCAGCAAATGAGATTTGTTTCTCCTCAGCAAAAGCTTTGCAAATCAGGAAATTTAATTTTTTTGACTGTCTGGTAAACATAGGCCAACTATTCTTTCAAAAGAATCTTGCCTCATTTACTGCAGTGAGCAAAATCAATATATTTGTCAAACCTTCTCTAAGGGCCTTATGTTGATCTCACTACAAACAATGACAAACATAAACAGAAGGAAGGTATGAAAAGTGCTATAAAAAATGTATAAATGCACTAATATTGAGGAACGCTATCCTCATAACTTTACAAACTTTTCATGCAATCACCAATAGTCAAATGCAACTGAAATTATGACTTTATTGAGAAATTAACTGTTAAAAATGACAATAAAACATTAATACAACAAACTGTAAATGTGAAAGTGAGCAGTGAAAATTAATCATTCCAAAGTGCTTTCATAATGCAGTATCAAATAAAAATCTATCTTACCAAGCACTTACAGATGTATATAAAGACAAATCTAGTGACTGTGTAAAAAATTAATGCAAATAACTGCCCCATCAGTAGTGGGGAACAAAGTTACACAATTGATGTTTTTTTATTTTAGAGAGATTAAGCTTCTGCTGTGGACTTACACTGTCCGTCATTTGATTAAATGGAAGATATTTTATTGCATGAAATGCATTCTAGGCATGGATGTTCAAGATCATGACTGTGACTGTCCTGTCAAAGGTGTCATGACACTGATCGAGCAGAAGTGATTTTACTGGCTTGGGCCCATTCGCACATAGAAAGACAGATGCATACGTAAGAACTATGTGGAGATTGCACATTCTCCCTGGGTCTGCATGGGTTTTCCTCTGGGTGCTCTGGTTTCCTCCCACAGTCCAAAATGTGCAGGTTAGGTGGATTGGCCATGCTAAATTGCCCATAGCATCCTTGGACGTGCAGCCTAGGTGGATTAGCCATACGAAATATAAGGTACAGGGATAGGGTTGGAGGGTGGGATGGTCTTCAGATGGTCAATCGCTTCATACAGGGCACTTGTGCAGAATATGCCTCCCATCGACTAGTTTCTTCAGCAATTGACAGAAGGCACAGCATAAAAAGTTAGCCCATTCCAATGCGATTTGATTTGTTGTGCGACTATCATCTTATGGAAGGATGCCGACAATGACAATGTTCATACTTAAAATTCAAAGATTCATTTATTTTCATTAAACATCTTGGGGCCACTGTCACTTTTTTTTGGGTGGATGCAGGAGCAGGATGTGCTATGCTGCTCTGCACAGTTTAGTTATGACTTCAGAAATTTTACATTTATGTGGCTTACATGATGGATTACATTGGGCATGCAATGTGTTTTGTCAGGTAGGCAAATACAACAACTCTACATTTGTTACATTATAAGGAATTTGTTGGAATTCCACTGGAGACAATATTCCTATAAGTTGTTGTTTTTGCAGAACTCAGGTAACATTTCCCTATCTGCAAGACAATAAAATCCCACTGTTGTGTAATTAATATTCAACTACTAAGGGGCAGCAGGACACCCCCAGTAAGAATACTGAAGCACAACTGAAAACAAATTACATCTAAGCAGCATCAGTTCAGTAAACGAACGTCAATTTTAGGGAGTTTTGCTCAGAGGTTAAATTAGCTTATTTTCCAAATGAGAAAATGACAAGAAATGGTAATCACATCTAATGAGTAGAAGGACCATAAAGGTACGTTTAAACATGGTCATTTGCAACTGGAACCCAGAGTGTGAAAAGGCAAAGGACAACTGTCATCAAGCTACTGAATTAGTTTAAATGGTTATGGTGAAAGTTTGTATGCAAAGCTCTCTCAATAGGTCCATAGAGAGTGACTCTATAAATAACCCACAAAGTCCAGAAAGTCCCATTTTTACTGGGTACAGTCAACTAGGCTACAAACCATTCATAGTCTCGATGCTTGTGATAAATGGGACATGCGTGCTTGAAGATAACAACACTCTTGCTTGAATTGTCTCTTTTCCATTCCCCAGGGAAGTAGTCTGTGATGTTCTGATTTTATTTTAAACTGCTTGTGTGATTTATGCTTGAAATTTAAATGCAATTTTTAATGTTTGGAGAATCATGGGCATTAGTCAAATTCTGAAAATCAAACGACATTCAAATGAATCACTTGTACCAAGTGATTCTGCAATCTGTCTACTTTCTTACTGTAGTGATTGTAAGGAGGTCAGCCCGGTGGACCTCGTAGAATATGCGTTCCCTAATTGGGGCTGATAATCTGGTCAGCCAGGAGCTCTGGCTGACAGATAAGAACAGAAGTGTCAGACAACCTGTTCAGTCTGAGAACTGGCTCTGAGGGAGCTGAATCAATGTCAAGGACTCTCCACGTGTAAATAAAGGGTGACTTGGTGACTGGGATAACAGCCTTTGAGGAGTTATTTCACTTACCTCTAATAACTTATCCCCAGGAACCAGCCCATCAGGGCCGTTTGCTGGACTGTCATCGTCCACTTTTGCCACAAATATGCCATATAGATTTCCACCACAAATTTGGATCCCGAATTCTATCTGGGTTTTCTTGAGGAAAAGGAATCTTGGCTCAGCAATTTGGTTGGTTGAATCAATTGACTTTCTGTTGAATTAAAAATACAAGGAAGAAAAATAAGGAACATATTCACTTTCAGACGATTGCTGATACGCACACTAACCAATGAGGAAATGTATTAATCAGGGCACGACGATCTTTTGAAATTGGTTTGTCCATTATCCATCTTCCACTATATGGATTCCCAATTCTTGCTGATAAGTTTTTTTTTGATGGAAGAAAGGATTGTTGCCCTGAAAACCAGCAGCAACATCAAGAAAAAGTACCTGTTGATCTTAGATGAACTCTTTACTTCTTTCCTTTCAAGACCTCTATCTCTTCTACACTAAGACAACAGTTGTTCACTTGATATTGTTCACAGACAGCATGTCATCAGTTCTTCATATATCAATAGAAAAGGTAGTGTGACAGTTCAGTGCACATTCGAGGCAGAACTGATGAATAAACACAATCCAACAAGGACTAGCGCAGTACTGCAAACAGGGGTCACTTTGGTTAATTTACCCTCCTTTGTCCAACCGCACCAAGCCTAAGTGCACTTCCTTTCCATTTACTAGCTGAGATAACAAATTCAGCACAGATCCAAGGTTAACACTGGAACCTCCTAGGTCTGTGTGCATCAATTATTCACCAAAAAGAAAACAAACCACCTTTCCATAACTTTCATGGAATATCAAATTTGTTAATGCATCTGCCCCCAATATGATGTGTTTCATGGTCGGACCCTTGGTGTGAACATAGACAGCAAGGATCAATCAGAGAGGCATCACAGCCAGTCACCATTTAAAAAATGTCCTTCTAGAACATTAATAACCAGAAGAAATATCCTGCATTTTTGAACAGTTTCATCAATCTTAACACAATTAAAAACTGGAATTGTTCAAGTGTAAATCGAGATGCCTCTAACCACCAGAAAAGTGCTACAGGATAAGCAGCGTAACCTTCATAAATTCTAAACTATAAAACCAAACTGGGATTAAATGATAAAATGTAACACTATTCAAATATATAAAGGTCCATAAATTATTGGTCACTAAATCCCAAATGGGAAATATGGCACATTGTAATATTTTGAAAATTAATTGTTCTGGATTGCAAGATTATAGAATGGTTACAAGAACAAAAGGAAGCTATTTGGTCTGTTGCATCTGTGCCAGCTCTCTGAAAGGCAACTCACCTAATCCTACTCATCACTTTTTCCCCCCTTGCCTGCAAATTACTTTCTCCAGATGCTTACCTAATTATCTTTGAAGGCTTTCATCAAATATTTCCCCACTACACTCTCAGGTATTGCATTCCAGATCCTAAGCAGTCACTGTGTAAATATGTTCCTCCTTGTATTGTCTTTGTTTCTTTTGCTGATTATCTTAATTTGGTATCTCCTGGAACTCAATCCTACTGACAGGGGAACAGCTTTCCCATCTACTCTATCCAGGTCCCTGTAATGTTCAATAGTGCCTACATAAAAGTGAACCACTGCAAATGCTAGAAATCAGATTTAAAAAACCCAGAAAATGCTGTATATACTCAGCAGGTCTGGCAATATCTATGGACAGAGAAACAGAGTTAACGTTTCAAGTCCCATATTAATCTTCTTTAGAACTGAACAGCAAATGGTGCCTTGCTTGATACATAACATCACATCTGTCAAATGTGGTCGATTGCATCCACTGTTCCCGATGTGGCTTCCTCTACATCGGTGAGACCAAACTGAGGCTTGGAAGCTGCTTTGTTGAGCACCTGCGCTCTGTTCACGACAAACGACAACACCTTCCGGTCACGAACCATTTCAACTCCCCCTCCCATTCCCGGGGTGACAAATACATCCTGGGCCTGCTCAGTGTCACAATGACGTTATCTGCAAACTCAGGAGCAGCACCTCATATTCCGCCTTGGGAACCTACAACCTAATGGTCTCAATGTGGACTTTACCAGTTTCAAAATCTGCCCCATCCCCTGACCAACCTTCCCTCTCGTCCCCGCCTCCTTGACCTGACACAACCCATCCATCTTCTCTCCCACCTATCTGCTCCTCCCACCTCACTGCCTACCTGCACTCACCTATCACCATCCCACCTACCTTCCCCAGCCCCACCCCTCCTCCTCTCTATTTATTTTGGAGCTCCCTTCCCCCTCCCCCATTTCTGAAGAAGGGTCCCACTCCAAAACATCAACTTTCCTGTTCCTCTGATGCTGCCTGGCCTGCTATGGTCCTCCACCTCCACACTGTGTTATCACTGTCTTTGATACATACTCGATTTTTTTGCTTGCAATATGCCAAAGGTGATCATTCCTTCAAAGGAGCACAAATTTTCTTTGGAAGACACTGTGGGCAGTTCACTTACCAGTCAACAGAAATAGCTGAGTGGAATCTCACAGCAAGTCCACATTGACCATAGTCAAAAGTTCTGCCTTATCCAAACGAAATGAAAAGGACAGTTTTATTCTGTCTCATAATGAAGAAACTTGAGCCTTAGTGCTGTAGAATAGCTCCATTTATAACTGACCTGATTGAGTCACGTGGGCTAGTAGTTGGAGTGGTTTGCTTCGATGGTGGGGTTATTGTCCCTTCATCCTGTTCACTCACAGCGTCAATTATGGAGTGATTGTCAGGTGTTGTTGCTCCACTGCCTTGGGGAGTTGAATGGTTGCTTATTGGCTCTAGTCGGGAACTGATAACACAAATCACACATGGATCAACATTAATTGTTTACAGAGTTATATAGCTTGGAAACAGACCCTTTGGTCCAACTAGTCCACGCTGACCATATTCCCACTTGTTTGCGCCTGGTCCATTTCCCTCCAAAGCTTTCCTATCCATGTACTTATCCAAATGTCTTTTAAATATTGTAACTGTACCTGCATCCACCACTTCCTCTGGCAGTTCATTCCATATACAAACCATTGTGTAAAAAAAAAGTTGCTCCTCAGATCCCTTTTAAATCTTTCTCTTCTCACCTTAAAAATATGCCCCCTAGTTTTGAAATTCCCACTCTAGGGAAAAGACCTTTGCTACTCACCTTATTTGTGCCTCTCATGATTTTATAAACCTCGATAAAGTCACTCTTCAACCTTCAACACTCCAGTGAAAAAAGTTCCAGCCTATCTTTATAACTCAAACCTTCCATTCCCAGCAACATCCTGGTAAATCTTTTCTGAAACCTCTCCGTTTTATATCCTTCCTATGGCAGGGTGACCAGAACTGTACAAAGTATTGCAAAAGAGGCCTCACCAATGCCTGTACAACCTCAACATGACATCCCAACTCCTACACTCAATGGTCTGAGCAATGAAGGCAAGTGTGCTAAGTGCCTTTTTAATCACCCTGTCTACACGTGATGCAGATTTCAAATAATTATGTACCCGAACCGCTAGGTTTCTCTGTTCTACAACACTATCCACAGCCCTACTATTAATTGTATAAGCCCTGCCCTTGTTTGTTTTGCCAAAATTGCAATACCAATGCAATACTCCACTGCCACTCCTCAGCCCATTGACCCAATTGATCAAGTCTCTTTGTAACCTTTGATAACCTTCTTCACTGTCCAGTATACCATCAATTTTAGCATCATCCCACATCTCCTAAATTCTCATCCAAATCGTTTATATAAATGAGAAACAAAAGTGGAACCAGAACAGCAACATAATAAGCTAGCAATAGTTGGCAAACTCATACTTCTAATATATTAGTAGCTACTAATTAATGACTTGGCTTAAATGAAGTGCAAAGTCCAGTGACACCATTCCACTCTACACTCCAAATTTCACTCTCCCTAAAATCCACTGAACCAGCAAAAAGCTAAAAAAAAAAAGTGCAGTATCAACTTGGAAAGAAAGTAAGGAAAATGTCCAAGTGACCAGAAGCATTATTAATCCGGAAGCAGTATTTTCACAAATTCTGATATAATCAACACCCTGATTCAATTTCTCATTTCAGCAAATTTCAAAAGAATTTTTACATTTGAATACTGTATGGAAACAGAGATGTGCAGACTGATGAAAGTTATGCGTTATTGCTAATTTATACACTGGCCTAACTTCACTCGAAACTGGGTGATCCATTTAAAAAGCAAATCTCATGCTTCATTGGCCCGTTAATATCTCAAGTTTATCTAAGATGGAAATACGTATTCAAAAAAAACACTTAAAATGTTCATATCTAGTGCAAACATAAAGGTCATTAAGTATAGTCAAAGCTGAGATAAGACATATTTTTAATCAGTATTGGAATCAATGATTATGGGGATAAGGCTGGAAAGTAGAGTTGAGATTATTTGATTGGCCATGATCTCACTGAATGGCAGAGCAGACTGAATGGGCTGACTACTGCTCCTGTGTCTCATAGTCACTGGGAGAACCTATAACATTGCTCAAAAAAAAAAGTGTACAAGTCTAACCTCTAATTTTCACAACTGAAATCTCACCTGGAACGTGAGTGGTTACCCAGTTGATACATATGTGGGTTATATTGTGCCAAGATGGTGATAGTCTCACATGGCTCTGTCTGTCCAATAATTAACCGAGCCTGTTGCTCAGTGGCGTTCCTCAGATTAATGCCATTATACTGTCAAAAGATGGTAAAACATTGTCAGCACTGCTATGTATGTAACAAAGAATGCTTTCTGAAAACCAAGAACAAAAGACTATGATAGGAAGGGAGACAGAAAGACAGTGCAAGAAAAAGAACATGCAGTTTTGCTGCATCTTTCAAGTTTGCAATACATCACAAAGCACTCCAGAGCAATGAACTACTATTTCTATGAAGGATGAGTTCACAGCAGTACATTTGCACACAATATCATGAAGTATTAATGAGATAAATGATCCTAGTATCTATTATGGTAGTATTATTTGATGGATGAATATTGGCCATGTGGAAAGCCTCTCTGCATAGTATCTGGGATCATTCCATTCATCTTAACAGGCAAGACATGATTTTAACTTAAAGATAGCTTTTAAAATAACGCAGCTGCTCACTGAAACTCGAAGTGTCGGACCTTGAAGTGCGGTTTGAACTCTCAGTAGTAAGAGCATTACCACTGAACCAATATGGCATTAAATTAATAGAAACGCAATAATGCAGCGCATTTGGTGTATCAACCTACCCTGCAATGGCAATCGCCTCAAACCCCTGACCACTAAGCTGTTGGTTCCTGCTGTGTTAGTGATTGGAAGAAGAAAAATCAGAAGTGTAATATGCCTAGATGACTCAAAGCACTGATAATGCCAACTGATATTCTTGGCAGATGTAGCTTTGGGAAACCGATTTGTACTCCATTCTCTAGTGATGGCTTTGATAACTTGGGGAAGCCTAAAGACTTTGGAAAAACAGGAAAATATTACACTGTATATCAACTTGATCTCAAAATTTTAGGCCTGTTTATGAAGAGCACTATACCATATTCTTTGGCAAACCATCAGTAAAAATCAGTTTTATTTTTAAGTTTTGAATGAATGTGGGTGGTCAGGGAATGGGACTGCTGTGGGAAAAGGAAAATGTCAGGTCATGCCCCTAGGAATCACATGCAATAGCGAAGTAGAACCCGGTAAAAACAATGATAAAGCCCTTGTAGAAATATTCCAATTCAAACAGCTGTTGCGAAGCTTTTAATTGGAATTAGAAAGAATCCACATATTTTGGGCCTTCTTCCAAGACACCCCACTGGCAAGGAACAACTGAAAAATTACAACATGAGAGATAACCGACGCCAGGAGGACCCACCTGTCACCTTACTTAGGCAAATGGAAAGATCTGCTCCAATTCCATGAAGCAGCGCAGACAAACCCAATCAAAACATTAATTACAATTACAGAAGATTACCAATGCTTTGATAATACAATGTATACTGACTGAACTGAATCATAGTCGAATGTTGAAGTATTCTGTGATTACAGGAAAGCCTTTCCTCACACATTTACAGTTGTGCAAAACAAAAACTTCATTTGCATCAGATTTTCCTCATTATTAGTAGCCACGTTTTAGCTACTTAATCGCATTTACCTCAAGCAACTGATCACCATATTCAAGTCCAGCCTGATGAGCGATGCTTCCACCAATTACTTTGGAAACGAATATCCCTCCATTTTCTCCACTCACAATTGAAATTCCAAGCGGTTCAGTTCCTTTCTGCACAGTCACGTGACGGGGTTCTTGTAGAAAAGGCCTTTAAAATAAAATTATTTCAACTCCATTCAGCATTATACTCACTGAAATCCAAGGCTTTATAGGAAGTCAAATAAGATAACAGACCACTTGTATTTCAGTTATATTTTTAAACTAGGAGGGCCACGATGACAAATTGAATTCGTACTCAAAACAGGATTTTAATTGGTACTGGACAGACCCGACTGCATTACAAACAGAACACAGAAATGGTAACACAGGGGAAGGCCTCTTTCTTAGTAACAAAATTTGACCCAAGACAACAGTATGCGGGGGAATTTGCTTGGGCAATGAGGCACTATGCAACAATGTCAAATCCCCAGGGGCGAGTGGGCAGGCAGGCAAGTGGGCTGCATTCTTTATTGATATCACGAGAGAATGTCATGAAGGTCGTGACTCGGCTGCTCCAGTGAATCCAACCAACTTTGCTTAATGGTGCAACTCAAACAAATTTCTTCTCCCACTCCTTTTCCAATACAATTTTCCTTAATTTTAATAAGCATGTACAAAAGAAAACTTCAAAAAGGAAGCTTCATATATTCTCTCAAAATATTCTGTACTTAGTTATCTTTCTTATAGTTTCAACACAAGATAAAGTGAAGAGAATATGTACTGCACAGCACAGTGATATTCATGTCTGAAGGAAGCCACAAGAGCAACAAATGTTACTGGGGTATTGGTATTATCCTGACAGCAGCCAACAGGCAAATATGTACTAGATAGTTTGTCTTCTATCAGTTTCCTGCAGAACTAATTTTGTTTTAAGTACCTTATTTGCAAATTAAAGTTGCTGTATTAGGCTATATCTACATCACACACCAAAATGAATCAAAATATGAAACAGAATGAGATCAACTGGTAGTTGATGCATACAATGTCATCCTGTATTCAGTAGTAAAATCCTGAACAATTTGAAGAGACTTGAGGGTTCCCATAAACTGTGTGATCAGCTTAGTGAAGCTGAAATCCTACGCACATTATTTTTTAAAAATTCACTTATGGGATGCGGACATCGCTGGCTGGCCAGCATTTATTGCCCGTCCTTGAGAAAGTAGTGGTGAGCTGCCTTCTTAAACTGCTGCCGACCACATGCTGAAGGTTGACCCACAATGGCCTTAGGGAGGGAAATTGCAGGATTTTGACCCAGAGACCATGAAGAAATACAATATATTTCCAAGTCAGGATGGTAAGTGGCTTGGAGGAGAACTTGCAGGTGATGGTGTTTCCATGGATCTGCTGCCCTTGTCTTTCAAGGTTAAAGCAACTTAGGGTTTGGAAGGTGCTGTCTAAGGATCTTTGGTGAACTTCTGCAGCACATTTTGTAGACAGTACACACTGCTGCTACTGAACATCAGTAGTGGAGGGAGTGAGTGCTTGTAGATGTGGTGCCAATCAAGCAGGCTGCTGTTGCCCTGGATAGTGTCAAATTTCTTGACAGCCGTTGGAACTGCACCCATCCAGGCAAGTGGGGAGTATTTCATCACACTCCTGACTTGCGCCTTGTAGATGGTAGACAGGCGGTGGGGAGTTAGGAGGTGAGTTATTCACCACAGTATTCCTAGCCTCTGACCTGCTTATGTAGCCACTGTGTTTATGTGGCAAGTCCAGTTGCTTCTGGTCAATGGTAACCTCAGGGATATTGATAATGGGGGCTTCAGTGTTGGTAACACCGTTGAATGTCAACATCAGTGATCAGGTTATCTCATACTGGAGATGGTCATTGCCTGGCATTTGTGTGGCGCGAATGTTACATGCTACTTCTCAGTTCAAGTCTGGATGTTGTCCAGATCTTGTTGTATTTGAACATGGTCTGTTTCAGAATCTGAGGAGTCACGAATGGCATTGAACATTGATGAACATTCCCACTTCTGACCTTATGACTGGGGTGGGGGCTTGTCTTTGATGAAGCTGCAGATGATGGTTGAGCCTAGGACACTACCCTGAGGAACTCCTGCAAGATGTCCTGGAGCTGAGATGACTGAACAACAACCACAACCATTTTCCTATGTGCCAGGTATGATTCCAACCAGTGGAGAGTTAGCCTCATGATACCCATTGATTCCAATTTTGTTATGGGCTCCTTGACGTCAAGTCGTGTCACTCTCACCTAACCTCTGGAATTCAGCCCTTTTGTCCATGTTTGAACCGAAGCTGTAATGAGGTTAGGAACTGAGCAGCCCAAACTGAGCAAGTTATTGACAGTACTGTTGATCATACCTTCCATCAGTTTACTGATGATGTGGTAATTGGACAGGTTGGATTTGTCCTGCATTTTGCGTATAGGACATATGTCCTAGGCCATTTTTCACATTGTCGGACAAATGCCAGTATTGGAACTGTACTGGATCAGCTTGGCCATGGGAGCGGCAAGTTCCAGAGCATAAGTCTCTAGTACTATTATCGGAATGTTGTCAGGGCCCATAGCTTCTGCAGTATCCAGTGCCTCCAACTGTTTCTTGATATTATGTGGAGTGAATTGAATTGGCTGAAGACATATCTGTAATGCTGGGGACCATTGGAAGAGATCTGCATGGATCATCTACTTAGCACTTCTGGCTCAAGATTGTTATGAATGCTTCAGCTTTATTTTTGCACTGAAATGTTGGACTATCCCATCATGGAGGATGGGAATATTTGTGAAGCTGCCTCCTCCAGTGAACTGTTTAATCTGTCCACCACCATTCATGACAGTGTGGTAGCATTGCAGAGCTTAGATATGATCTGCTTAGCTCTGTCTACCACTTGCTGTTTATGGTGTTTGACATACAAGTAGTCCTGTTTGGTAGCTTCACCAGGTTGACATTTTATTTTTAGGTATACCTAATGCTGCTCCTGGCATTCCTTCCTGTATTCTCCACTGACCCAGTATTGATCCCTTGGCTTGATGGTAATCATTGAGTTCAGGGTATGCCATGAGGCTGTAGATTGTGCTGGAATACAATTCTGCTGCTATTGATGGCCCACAGCACTTCGTGCATGCCCAGGCTTGAGTTGCTAGACCTGTTTGAATCTGTTCCATTTAGCACGGTGATAATGCTAGACAACACGATGGAGGCAGTGTGAAGGCAGGATTTTGTCTCCACAAGGACTGTGCAGTGGTCATTCTTACCGATACTATCATCTGCAAATGATGCAACATCAGTTGGCAGACTGGTAAGCAGGAGGTTAAGTATGTTTTTCCCTCTTGTAGTTTCCCTCACCACCTGCCGCAGACCCAATCTCATAGCTGTGCCGTTTAGGACACAACCAGCTCGATCAGTAGTGCTGCTGCCGAACCAGTCTTGGTGGTGGACATTGAAATTCCCCACACAGAGTACATTTTGTGCCTTTGCCACCCCTAGTGCTTCCTCCAAGTATTGATCAATGTGAAGGAATACCGAATCATCAGCACAGGGGGGGATGGTAAATGGCAATCACACTTAATCTGAAGCCATGAGACTTCATGACACCCAGAGCCAATGTTGTGGATTCTGAAGGTACTTCCCTCCAAAACGTATATCGCTGTGCTGTCACCTCTGCTGAGCTTGTCCTGCCGATGGAACAGGGCATATCCAGGGGATGGTGATAATGGTGTCTGTGATATTTTCTGTCAGGTATGATTCCTTGAGTATATCTACATCAGGCTGTGCTTAACTAGTCTGCAAGACTTCTCTCCCAATTTTGGCACTAGTTCCAGATGTTAGTAAGGACTTCATTGGGTCGACAGGGCTGTTTCTGCCATTGTCTCTTCCGAAGCTTAGGTCAATACTGGGTGGCCCGTTTGGTTTCATTTTTTTTATTGAGACTTCATAATGTTTGACAAAATTGAATGGTTAGCTAGGCCATTTCTGAGCGCAGTTGAAAGTCAACCAAATCACTGTAGGTCTGGAGTCACATGTAGGCCAGACCAGGTAAGGATGGCAGCCTTCCTCTCCTGAAGGGCATTTGATATGCAAATCTAAGTAATTCAATCAGATATTTTTAAAATATGCCTCTTACAATAAAAATTACTAGCATATATTGACATCAATAAGCTAAAACTTTTAAAATGGTATGCACTAACAAAAGGTCATTGATCCAAAGTGATAACTCTGTTTCTTCATCACATTAGCACGATTGGACCTGCTGAGTATTTTCAATGAAAAGTAAATTTTGTTTAATTGCTATAATCATAGCTAATGTTAAATGTTTGAGTAAACATAGTATTGGTAATGACCCATGAAAGAATATTGTTAGATACTCATGCATTTGGCACTTGAAATTGTTCTACTTCACCACTATTACCCACTATATAATCAGGTCTAACCTCAGGACTACCTACAAGTCACAGAGTGAAAATTCTTATGCTTTTGTTCAGAGTATCCTTCTGCCATCTAGCATAATTTAACAAAGTAATTTTTGTTCATTTTTCAGAATTAGCTGCTGTCAGGCAGACAAAAGTGTCTCAAGCAAACACTAACCTTGCATGGGATAAAGTTGCCATGCAAGAGCTTCCAGATTAGCGGTAACTGAGAAATGCGAAATGACACATGAATAAGCATATCTTGAGAATTGCAAACAGGAAAGCAGAAAGCAAGTTAATTTGTAACAGGCCAACCTCAGACTCCGTAGTGATGAGAATCGAGGCCTAGGAGTGAGAGGAATTCTCAGAAAGGACCTATTACGGAATAGGTATCTAAAAAGGGTCAGAATGAAAGAAAAACAGTTGTAGAAATGAATTCAAAAAGCCTAAAAATGTTATGCTTCAGAAAGCTGAGAGAGAAATATTGAAATATAAGAAGCAGTGGTAAACATCAAGTTCTCTGAGTTATAAATACATTCAATAACTTGATCAATTTATAAGAGTGCAACTATAGCTTTGGGGCCCATAATTTTATCTTTTCCAAATAGTAAGCATAAATGTCAAGGGAGATGCAGTTTAGAAAACATATCATCTGTAATTCCATTTATAGAATTGTTGCAGCATTAACAAAATGAAAGCACTTAAACACCTTAAAATAACAAATTTCACAGCCTTTGTTAATATAATTCCTGTTATTAGCTGGATTCATTAAAACACTAGTATTGGAAAGCAAATCAGAACATTCTGAAATGTTAGACATAATATAACCATTACAATGTTCACTGTAGCAATTTCTCAAATGTTTCCTTAATGTTTAAGGATCAAACACAACATTCTTGTAATTTAGCAATGCTGATAGGGTACTGCTATTCAGAGAGTCCATATTAAATTATTCCCATATTAAGCAACAAGCCTAACACTAACATAATTGGATTTGCTTTTTTGCAATTCAAAAAATGAGTGTCAATTTAAGGCTTGTGAGTAGATTTGTAACTCAGGTTGTGGATGTTGTGGTTGGTTTGCTCGCCGAGCCAGTTCATTAGTTTGCAGACGTTTCATTACCCTGCTGGGTAACATCATCAGCCTCCGATGAAGTGCTGTCGTGTTTTCCCGCCTGATATTTAAACTCTGGGGTCCGTTGGAGTTGATTACCTCGTTTCCAGTTTTTCTTCACAGTGGTGTATATATAGGATCTAATTCTACATGTTAATTGATGGCCTTCTTGGTGGAGATCCAGGCCTCAAGAAATTCCCATGCTTGTCTCTGTTTGACCTGTCCTAGGATCCTGATGTTGTCCCAATCAACTGGTGGTTCTCCTTATCCATGTGAATGGAGATGAGTGAGCATCGGTCGTGTAGTTTTATTGCTAGTTGGTGTTCATGTATTCTTGTGGCCAGTTTCCTACCTGTCTGTCACAGTCCTTGCATGGAACCTTGTATATCACGTTGGTTCTGTCCATACGGTACTGTGACGAGTCTGTCAGGGCGTACTGTATCTTCCTGTTGTTTTTTGCATGATAGGCATTGTCAGGTCTAGCTGTTCGGGTATTTGCTGTCCTTAAATACTTGGTAGAAGTGTTCTTCTTCGTTTTGGCGTAGTTCCGGGTTGCTGCAGTGTGTTGTTGCTCGTTTAAATAGTGTTTCACGCAACTCTGTTTGTGGGTGTTGGGGCGGTTACTGTTGAAATTCAGGACTTGATCTGTGTGTATGGTCTTTCTATGTAGCATGGTCAGAAATTCCCCGTTGGCCCTGCGTTTTACCATGATGTCTAGGAAAGAGAGCTGTTCGTTCTTTTCTTCTTCCCTGGTGAATCTGATGCCAGTGAAAGTGTTGTTTCTTAGTTGGTGTGTCTCTTCTAGTTTAGTCTATTTGATGATGACAGAAGTGTCGTCCATGTATCGGATCTATAGTTTAGATAGGGCCTGTGGAAGGGTCATGCTTTCAAGTCTCTGTATCATCACTTCTGCTATTAGTCCAGAGATAGCTAACCCCATGGGTGTCCCGTTGATTTGTTCATAGATTTAGCCATTAAAGGTAATGTGGGTCGTGAGGCATAGGTCCAGTAATTTCAGCAAGTTGTCTGTGGAGATGGTGTCACTTAGGTCTCGTTCTTTTCGTAGCGTTGCTAGTGTTTCTCTTGCCAGTGGTAAGTCAATTGATGTGAATAGGGCACTAACATCAAAGGAAACCATAGTCTCGTCCTCGTCTTTTTTATATCTTTGAGGGGTTTGAGGAACTCCTGGGCTGAGTGGATAGAGTGGGGTGACTTGCTGACAAGGTGCTTTAGTCTTTGTTGTAATTCCTTGGCAAACCTGTGTGTTGGTGTGCCTGCGAGGGAGACTCTGGGTCTGAGGGGTAATTCCGGTTTGTGTACTTTTGGGAGGCCATAGTACTGGGGGGTGTTTGTCCCTTCAGGTTTCATTTTTAGGTAGTCTGCTTTGTTGATTTGTTCAGTATGTTTCAGTCTCTTTAGTGTGTGATTATTTTATTACCTAGTTGCGGTGTTGGGTCTATTTGCACTGGCTGGTATGTATTCGTGTCTGTTAGTAGTTTCCGTGCTTTAGTCAGGTAGTCCCATTTGTTTAGTATTACTGTAATGCACCCTTTGTCTCCTGGTAGGCTCATGGTGTTTTTGTCTTTTTTCAGTCCTTCTAGGGCGTTCTTTACTGATGGGTTGAGAGTGTTAAGTTCATTCCTTCTGGTCAGTGTCAGGACTACTATCTGTCTTTGGCTTGTTGTGTTTCCTCAATGATGCCATTGGTCTTCAGCGTACATTCTAGTGTGGCTAGGAACTCTGTCCTGTTAGCATCTCTGCGGTTCTAGTTGAGTCCACGTATTAGACAGCTTTCTCAGTGTGTTAGTTTCCTGTCTGAAAGGTTTCTTATCCAGGTGACTGATCTTTGGTTGTTGTTTTGGTGGGTTAGTTTGGCTAGTTTTTCTTGTAGGATCTGTCTTTTCTTCAACCAAACAGTTGGGTCCGACGATGCCTATCACACAAACAGCAACAGGAAGATACAGTACGCCCTGACAGACTCATAACGTTACTGTACATCAAGAACATATCCAAACTGACCACAAGACTCCTACGACCATTGGGCATCAGAGTGGCACACAAACCTACGTTAACCCTACGCCAACTGCTAACTCGAATCAAAGACCCCTTACCCACTATGGACAGAACCAACGCAATTTACAAGATTCCATGCAAGGACCGCAACAAACATTACATTAGACAAACAGGAAGGAAACTGGCTATGAGAATACATGAACACCAACTAGCAACAAAGACACAACCAATACTCATTAGTTTCCACTCACACAGATAAGGAGAATCACCAGTTTGATTGGGACAACACCAGGATCCTAGGACAGGCCAAACAGAGACAAGCACGGGAATTTCTTGAGGCCCGGTTCTCCACCAAGAAGGCAATCAATAAATATGTAGCATTAGACCCTATATATATACCACTGCAAAGAAAAACCGGAAACAGTAATCAACTCCAATGGACTCCAGAGTTTAAATAACAGGCGGGAAAACACAACAGCACTTCATCAGAGGCTGCACTGATCCTTCTAGTGTGATGTTGGCAGTCTAGACAGTAGGTAATTCAATTTAAAGATACAATTAGCTTAATTCAAATTAGATTAGCTTTTAACTTGCAAATGTTGATGTTAGATTTAGTTGTGAACTCAATTATTCTCCTTTCATGGGACGAGTTTGTCAGAATCGTCTTTGTTTTATCTGAACTACCCTTCACATTGAATTTTCTAAACATAACACTAACAGTAACCTGTCCATTTTATTGTTTGTCATTGAAAAGGAAGGCCAGAATCTTTAGTAAAAATCCATTCATGTCACACACAAGCCTTGGTTGTCAATGCTCCGAGTATTTCAGTGAATACTATTGATTGTAAGCAAGAAGTCATGCAGTTCAAAATATAACGTGCAATAAGTTTACAACATCCATACCTGTCTTTCCTGTGTTCTCCTGTTGATACAGGACTGATGGAGATCTTTGTTAGAGAAGAAATTGAACTCTGTGATTGACTGCTGCCAAATGATGATGTCTCCAGGTTCATTGGTGACTGTGGGGGTGTAATCAAACTGGGGCTACTACGCTCAGAACCTGATTGTAAATAGATCAACATGAAGGTTATTCGGAAATCCTCTTTTCAGAGCAAAAACAATTTCTTATATGTTATCTGCAATAATTCCCTTAGAGAATATTCCATTTAGCATCAAGAAAATTGCAAATGCTAAGTCAATCAAGTATTTGTGACAGAATATTTACTCACCGTCTTCAACAGTTCTAATCTTACCAATATTCTAAAAGCGTCAGACCTTCTTTCATGTCAACTTTCTTGCATGACTTAAGTTTCTTTTGTGAAATACAAAAAGGAAACTAAATTCTAAACTCTTTGTGTTCTACAAAAAAAATCACCTGCAGAACCACCTTAAATTATTAACCACTGTAACTGACAAGCATATCGGCAACTTCCACCTTGCATGTTCTTTTAAATAGTGTCATAGTGCAAGCTAGAATCTAGCAAAAGCAATCATAATCAAATGAATCAACATCTAGCATAGCACAACAGACTCAATCATATATCAGATTTATGAAGTTTGTAGCAGTCCAAAGATCTGTACTGTAGTACCCTGATCAGATATTTTTCTTTGCGCAGATGCCTTACTACTTATGGTACAATGAGCACCTTGGAAATGGTTAACTCCTTACTTTAGTGAGGCAAGAGGCAAGATTGGAGGTAGAGTAATGGCTCAGAAGACAAAAATTTGCATAGCAACACAACTAGATATGCACAAAAGTGTAAATGTCATACTGCACAAATGAGAAAATAAAATGATTGCAAAGTATTGGAAAAATCATTGCACTCCTTCCAACCATTTTCACTTCCATATCGCACTTCTGATGCGGAAAAATTAGAAGTTAAATTATCCACACAAAAGGCTTGAATACAGGCAAGTATCTGCATCATTATTTGCCTAGAAGGGCAAATTTAATTATTTTTAATAGATTAAGCTGATAAGGCTGAAGGCCATTTGTTACTGTAATGGCTTGTTGATCATGGTAAACACATGCTGGATTTAGACAAGAAATAAAAATAAAGACTGAACAAGCAAATGGAGAGAAAAATATCTTCAAGATCACTGAATTCAACTTGCTACAGTTGATAACAATAACTATGAAAGTTCTGTACAGTCGATATACTTGCAGTTTCCAACTAAAGCCAATCGCTTATTTCTGGAGTACATACAAATTAAACTATTAAAATTGATTGACTGCAATTAAGTTGTGAGATTCTAAGCCAGAATCCACCCCTAGACAGTTGCAGAGACAAGAGCTTGCTGCCACCTGT